AGGACCGTCGGTAGTGATGGCTTAACAGCCGTAATTTTGTGGCGATTGCCAGGCAGCGATGGGGACTACCCGACTGCGGTGGTCCGGTGGCATCGACATTGGTGGTCGGGTGGCGGTGGTGACGACCAAATTGTTGTTGTTGGGTGGTGGGAACTGTGGTCTGCAATGACAATGGTAGCCGAGCAGTGGTGGTCCAGAGGCGGTGACGGTTGTGGCTAGGCAACGGTGGTCTGATGATGACAACGACTTTATGATGGTGGTACGCCCCAAACGTAACTCCCTCCTTTTTAAACGCCGACACCGGGTGGGGACAACAGTGGTGGCAGGTAATGGTGATCCTCCTGAGACAACAGTGATGGAAAGCAACTATGGTTAGGCAACAACAGAGACAACGGTTTGACGATGATGGTCTGGCAGCGATGATGGTGGTGGTCGAACAATGGTGGTCAGGTGGTAGCGGTCAGTGACAGTGGTGAGGTGGCTACAAAGGTGGTGGTCGGGCAATAGTGGGCTGGTAATAGTGGTACCCAGATAGTGGTGGCATGGGAATTGTGGAGCTCAAGTACCTTAAGAGATCGAAGCTCCTTGAGCCCTCTCCTCTCCTTTTTATGAAGAAAGTGGGGATCAAATTATAGATTTTAAGAGTAACATCCTCTGTAAATATTGCTAGAATTTGGACCACTCCATCGGATGAACCAAAATATTTTCCTTGATCGGACGATGTTTTAGGGGCATTTGAGTGCCTTAGTGATGTCAGAATGAAGAAATTTTCAGCTCGTTAGATTTGTCTCGTAAAGACGCTAAATTTAACTATAAACTTATCAAATTTAGAGCATTTGATCCCAAAATATATATAAAAATTCTTACTATGCTTTAAGTACATAACTGGGCTCACTTAGAGTCAGATCAACTCATGTTTGATATCAGCTGACTCATCTTATCAAGGCTCTTCATTTGAGTTGTAGAATTGGTATTTAAATATTTGGATTTCGAGATTCGTACATGATTAATATTACCTTTTGGGGACATATCAAGGAGCATTTTGTAATCAAAGAACTTAAGCTATTGGATTGACTTGGTGCTACTAGATGCTTTTTGGTTAGCAAGCAAAGCATGAACAAAACTTACAAAATCATTCTTCCACATCAAAAAATTTATTTGGGACATTAATTCACTCATCTTGTCGTTTTGTTGACCTTATCTTTTGCTTTTACATATCCTTAAGATAGCCATTGTGCTAAAGCTAGAGCAAAAGCAACAATGAGAATGTGTTCTTCTTTTCCTTGTTCATTCTCCTGCCTAGTTTCTGAAAACAGATTTTGTTGCTCTTCCTCGTCATGGAATTGTTGCCATTGCCCTTCAAGAGGAACAGTTAGTGCAGCACCATGGGGCATGCATCGATAGACCAACATGTAGAACTATTAGCCGGTCCTACCGTATATATAACCTCAATTTCCATTCTTCCTCTTCTCCTATTGTACATAAATTTTCGGACAGGGCATGCTACAAGATTTTTGGGATTTGAGTATGAGAATTTGATTCAATTTTTTTAATAATAAAAAAAAGCTAATGTGTATTGAATTTTTCTTGCAAGTTGGTCTCATTTTTATGCCTCAAATTATGTCACAACCTCACACAAAAACAAATTTCTCGACATTTTTCAGGTGGGTAACCCCGACATTTGGGTGCCTTTTTTGAATAATTTTGACATTTCAAATGAGTTGACACAATTCATTTTCTAAAACAATCAAAGATCTAGCAATTTTAGTTACAATAGAACTCTCCCGAGTCAAATAAGTGTGATGTCCCATCAATATCCATTGTTTTCATCATATCCAAGTAAATCAAGTGCATAATTCTATACTCCATGTAAGCAATGATCACAATTTTTTTTTATTAATGTGATGCATTTCTTACCGAATTTGTGCTATATAATCCATCGTTTTCAATACATCTGATAGCTGATGCGGGATTGATATCAAGTTCAATACTTATAATTGTCTATTTAATGACGATCACTACCACTTTTCACACCAACGACCATGCGATGCATAGAACAAAATTTGTATTGCCTCAAGTATTCAGTCACTAACAGAACATAATCCTACTCCTCTTCTATAAAAACCTCTCTAATCTCCACCCTATCCACGTTACATCATGACACTCTCTAGAATACTCTACTAGCTCTATATACATACACAGATATTGTATAATTGTACATTCATGTACGGATTAAAAAAATCATATACACTATTTTTGGTCAAAACATATATGGTATTAAAGTTCATACTTAACGGTACCTAACCATTTATTTTTTTCCCTTTTCTCTCCTTTTTCTCTGCATACCCTACACTATGGAACACTCCTTTGCTAATCGCACCTTAGATGATGAATACACCTGCACCGAACCCTTCTTCCCATTGATCGGACACAGCATGCCCTCCTCACAAATTCCTTATGAATGTCAAAAATATCATGACCACTCAACTCTCAAATGGTAACTATCCTACATGAAAATCACAAGTCCTAGATTTTGAAGGATTTCTTACATGCACCACCCACAAGCCCTCCAAATATACCACAACCACCAACAAAATACCCAAAACTAATCAAAACTACACAACCTAGCTTCTAATTGATCAAAGTTAAACAGCCAATCTTTACACCACCATCAGACCTCCACTTCTACCTCATAACATCAACCTTGAAACATCAACCAATATTTGGATAACATTTGAAGAATGACTTCAATCAACCAACTGATCTAGAGTTATTCAAATAAAAAAAAATGAGCTACATCATGTAATCATGAGCAACAAAACCATGACCCAGTAACTGACGACTATCAAAGTTATAGTTGACAATATTGCAGTAGCTAGCTCTCATGTTGATCACGAAAACATTATGCTATACATTCTTAATAGACTGTTACAATCATATCACGCCTTTAAAACAACTATAAGAACTATGCTCCAAACTATAAGCTCCAAAGACCTATACTCCTTACTTAAAAACAAGGAAATCAATCTCAACATTGAACTTAACAAAGAATACAAACTCCTAACCCAAACATTGCTCTCTCTATTCAACGAGGCAAATCTTCCAAAGTAGGGCGTGGCCGTGAACGCACACTGACCATGTACACCAAAAAATGACACCCTAGCCACAATCAAACCGAGGCAAATCACCTTCCATTACAGTATAATGCCTGATTTATGGAAACCAGGTCAGATAGCTATCAATTATTGACAAAAAACTAATCTCCATTATTTATCTCCATCACAGGCTCTCACCACTAAATCAATAATCAAAACATCTTCTAGGATTCTAGACATGGGGGCCTCATCCCACCTCACAGCCAACATTGAAGACCTCACAATATAAAATGTGGCTTTGTTGACAAGTACGCAACAACTTTAGACTTAATTCTTCTCAACCAATACCTCACTCTTTTCCTTAGCTCCTTATTTTTCCTAGCCGACTCTTTACACAGGGATCTTCTCAAAGAAATTCATCACAATCGAGAGCAAACATATGAAATTGCTTAAATGGACCCTTAATTTTGATCCCAGTCAAGAAACCCTAATTGCGCCTATCTAGTTCTCATTACCTCAACTCAAGTTTCAATTCTTTGACCTACCTATCTTATATGCAATTGAGACTATACTTGA